GATTGTGATTTTTCATGATATGAATCATGAAGAATTGGAGGATTACGTTGATGACATAGTAGTGAAACCCAAGCAAAAAAAGATCATGTGAAAGTACTTCGTTGAGTCTTACAGAGATACAGAGAATAGAAGTTGATGATGGAACTAGATGAAGTACGCCTTCGGAGTAACATAGGGGAAATTTCTTGGTTATTTGGTGAATCGACAAGGTATGAATGTAGACTCAACTAAAGTAAAAGCGCTGCTCGATATGCCAAAGCCAACCTCAGTGAAAAAGTTGAAGTCATTTTTAGGAAAAGCTTCCTACATAAGAAGGTTCTTACCAGGGTTACTAGCCTTATCGACCCCTATTATGGAATTGCTGAAGAAAAAGGTGGAGTACAAATAGAAAAAAGGTCTATCAACAAGCCTTTGCGAAAGTCAATGAGACCTTAGCGAATGCCCTAGAGATGATGGCTCCAATAGCACATAATGAACGTAAGTTGTATCTTGCTTTCAAAGATAATGCTATCGGGATAATGCTAGCATAGGATGATCAAAATGGTCAAGAAAAGTCAATCTATTATGCTAGTCAATTCTCAAAGAAGTTGAAGCTAGATACACTAAAGCAGAGATAAATTTTTTAGCACTTATATATTATTTACATGTAGCCAAAAAGTTAAGACATTTTATGTTGACGCTCAAGATAAACTTGGTATCCGATAAGGTACTTGATGTCAAGAACATCCCCACTGAGAAGGATAGCGTGATGGTTGTTACAGCTGTCAGAATTTGACATAGAATGTGTGTCACTTCCAAAGCGATAAAAGGGTCCAGTTTTTTCAGATCTAATAGCCCATCAAAAGACTCTATCGAGCTTTCTAAAGAAATTCCTGGTGAGATAGAACCAATTGCAACAGTAGAAGATAGACAATGGACCTTATACTTTTATGAATTATCCACAGCCAATGAAGAAGGTGGTGTAGGACATCTATATTGTTTAAATTTGAGTTTTCATGCTCTGATAACAGTTTGAAATATAAGGCCTTAGCGATAGGGTTATCTATATCTAAAGAAATGAAGATCAATAAGTTAAAAATAGTTGGTGATTAAAATTTAATGGTTTGATAGATAGATGGGGCATTCACACTTAAGGAAATTTCCCTAGCACCTTATCAGTCCTTTGTGCAGAAGTTGTGTGATGAAGATGATATGGAATTAACTCAAGTCAACAGGTTTACCTATCGACATGTTGATTCTTTGGCCACTATAGCTTCAAAGATAAAGTTCGAAGATGATGAAGATGAAGCTGACATTAAGACCAGCAAGCGATGAACTCCAACGCATGGAACTTTAAAAATATGCTATATGAAGATGTCTTTAAAGAAGGAGATTGGAGATATGTTGTGATTCAAGAACTAAAGCAATCAATGTTGTCAGTGCACATGGCCAAGAAAGGATTGAAGTGCTTAACTAAATTATGTGACAATTTTGACTACAAGATGTCTGATGGGGTCTTAGCTTGATGCGCGTTGAAAAAGCAACAAAGACACAAAAAAGTACATGATAAGGTCTGTAGGGTAACAAAACCAGTAAACCTCTACAGAAGATTGCAAAGACAAGCTTACTATTGGCCTGATATGGCTAAAGATGCAAAAGCTCGGGAAGAGGCTTGTCTAACATGTACATGGATGCTCGATAGAGTAGAATGTGCATTTATCAATTAGTGGATTGGAGACAGCCATAAATCAAGTATCTGACAGAATTGGTACCAGATGATAGATACGAAGCGAATAAGCTAAAGAAGATGACTAAAAGGTATATCGTGAATGATAGTAAGCTATTCAAAATAGGCTTATTGGGAATTCGATTAAGGTGTCTATCAGGTGATGAAGCAATGGAGGTCATGCACCAATCACATGTTGGCACCTTGGCGGAGTACTAAAGAGGGTTGTGGGTATGGAAGGGGCCTCCTCTTTGCTATTTAAGCTCTCGATCTGATCTTAGCCTACTCCTCCTCCCCGATGCGGAAAATCTTTTCTCATCTACTGGGCAAGGGCCTACAACATAAGGCTCCTCCGAACCTATTGGTCTCCTAACCTAAGGAATAGAGTTTCGCATCGAGAAGCCTACTCCTCAGGCTGTTTGGTACTTTATATTATATGTTTTCCGCGGCTCTTTCTAAAGACTAAAAAATGGTACAAGAATTCCATTTTTCAGTCGGGCGGAATGAAAAGAAAACTTTGATTTAGATCAATTGAAGGAATACCTGCTCGAGAACTTTGTCAGTCAAATGGGCAGACCTGACTCATCAGAAGAGTTTTCCCCACCAATCAAATCAGAATGAAAATGTTTGGTTATATTTCGGAATGCCTTATAATGAATGGAAAGGTTCTCCTTTTCTGCCAAGTTTGCTCGAACTCTTTGGAATTCGAAGACTGTTCCGGAATCTACTTTGGGAAAGACCTTCGCCATCTTATCAATGACGTCCGTCGAATCCTTCAAAGAGTTGGCACAGTAGGTGAATATGGGAATTGTTCACTCAGTACGAATTGTTGATACTTAGTTTCCTACTTTACTAGAAAGTTGGCACGAAATGACTGCAACGTCGCATGTGACCTTTTGTCAAGAAGGGCAAATCCCCGATTCTCGTGTGAATTTCAAGTTCAGTAGGGTGGCATTTTTTATGATGGTTTTCTTGTAACCTCTCTCAAAGAGAGTGGAATTGGGATAGCATTCAAGAATGCAATTAATTCCTCGTTAGTTATAGACGTAAAAGACATGAAAACATGTCTGACACTGATGGATTTTGAATCCTATTTATAATAGGTTACGACAGAGGAGGTAGCATGCGAAATTTGACTCTCTTGCCAGAGATTCTTCCCTCGGTAGTAGGGGACAAATCGCTCATTTTATTTGTGGCTGCTCAAAAGATCATAGAAAGAATGGGGAATCCTTTGCTTAAGAGAAGAGAGATTGGCCCGAGTGGTTAATTATTAATTGATCTAATAAGTGAGAGGTTAGATTCTCAAACAACATTTCAAGTTTAATTTTCGATATTTTAAATGAAATAAACTGTGTTAGAAGAATTGTCCCCGTAACAAATTTTAAAATGTTCGATCTAAATTGATTAGTAAAAACTAAATAAAATATTTAGAAACATTCTATCTTTTTTCTATATCTAAATTTCTTTTATATTAGATCGTAATATTTATAAATAGTATATTCTAACTCACAGTATCCTCAATTAAAAGAAACAAATGGGTATTGGCTGGCCGTCTGCCTGTATGAGAAGGAAAAATGGGTTTCTTGACATTTTTATGAAGCAGGCCAGCTTTTAATCCCATTACTTCGAAGCAGGCCGTCTTAATTTTATATTATAAATTACATAAAATTGTTTAGACAATTAAATAAGTGAGAAAATTATATGTATGTCTGCGTGTAATAAATATTCATGTGGGATTTGGTTCGTCTTTCAGATGGAATTCTAGGTAACCATAGAAGAAGAAGAAACCCTTCACATGCGTTGCATTAAAGAGTTTTATTTATTTATTTGCATATTTCCAATGAAATTTCAAAACATCAGAGACTACAACATAAGTGATTGAACATTCAATTGATTAAAAATATTTAAAACATATACTATTTTATAATCACCTTAACTTAATAAAAAACATATCATCTTCTCTAATCATCTTTTATTTTCATTTTCTTTCTTGTACCTCACTTACGTATGAACGTTATATATAAACTCAAATTATAATTAATAATTAAGTTCGATTTTATTGTAACTCTAGTGGTTGAGGATTACTTGATGAATAAATTATGTAGGTAAAAATTTCATGTGTTTGTACTATTTAGGATTTCTACATTTATAATGAGTTACTGTTTCTCTTATATGATGTTAGATTAGGACGAATCATATACACTTTTTAGCTAAAGGTAACATAAGTTCCTACTTATTTACTCATCATGCTCTAATTTCAGACTTATTAGAAGAAGAAAATGGGAAATTTTCTCAATTGGCAGGCGATATTGATGATGAATTAATCGGTTGCTCTCTTTATGTAGAGATTAATGTATGAGTCTTTCAAAGGTAATTATGAACTCTTCTCAGAAATTCAAATCACTTCCTTCCGGGGCCCCAGTTTTACCGAAACAAACAAGTTCAATTTGCAGCAATTAAGCCGACTCATACTAACTCTTGTAGCCTGCCGACACTACCAAGTTTTTAGGCCTTAATGGTTCACTATTCTCTTCTTAAACACCGTCTAGCATTTGACCTATCCAAACATCCTATCCAAACATCCAGGTAGGCACATGCATAAGATTTTGCGCTAGAGTATCAATTTTAAGAAATTATATTAAAAAATTTAGAAATACAGTTAAAAATTTATGTAGTATAAACTTATTAAATGGTTTCAGTGATTAACGAAAGTTTTGTTCTGCATTGAGATTCTAGGTTCGAGCAACTGTATTTATATGATATGTTTACGTCGTCAATGGTTAAAAGAAGATTATGAACATGTATTATTTTATAATCAACCTAAACTATTCAAAAAAATTATATGGTGTGAATCTAGATCATCAATGAAAAATACAAGCAAATAACTAAACATTATAAGAATTTAAAACTTCCAGGCGATTGCATCCCAGTATAGATTCGTCCTGGGGACCCATTGCCCCCTACTTTTTGTTGTTAAAAAAATATATGAATAAATTCTAAATTAAAACTCCTAATTTTAGTTTATTTTAATTTTGCCCCCTCATTTTCTATGGTTACTTATATTTTGCCTCTCATTTTTAATAATTATTTACATTTTACTCTTAAGTTGAAATCCTGGCTAAGCCTTTATACATCTATGATCCAATGTGATAAATTGATGATGTTATTTGTATTTAGAATGAAACACTAATTGATTAAAAAATGAAACCCTAATTATAATCTTGAAATGCAAGAAGAAATAGTATATGGGAATTTGTAATTTATTATGATACAGCACAGATATGTATATTATATAGATAGATAATTTACACTTTTTGGTTTATTGCTTCTTCTTCTTCTAAAAGAGGGCGTTATCTTTTCTGCTTACATGGACTATGGGAAAGAAAGACCTAATTTAGGAACAAACAAAAGAAACCCTAATTAATACTACTTTCTATGCGTTATTTTTTTTTCTTCAAAACAAACCAGTACTATCTTCTAAAGACATGCTGATTAGGTCTTCTTCTTCATCATGAGCCTGAGCCTGAGCCTGAGCCGAACCGTCGTCCAACAGCCATTTCTCTATCAACCTCAGCGGAACCTGATTCCGTAAATCGGGCTTGCTTTCGTCCTGGAACATGCTGTTCTCCGGCGACACGGATTCGTGAGAGACGTTGTCCGAGTTAGACGAGTTGAAGCTGATGAACGAATCGAATTCTTCGGGCGGTGTCGCTTTGTTGCTGAACGACGCGCGTCCGTCGGTGTTGGAACTGGAAATCTGGGTCATGGTTTCGGTCATGGTTTCGGCCGAATTCACCGTCGTCGGTTTGGGTGGAGTTTTCATCCAGTTCTGGAGCAACCGAGATATGTTCTCGGCGCTTGAAGCATAAATAGACGACTGAGATTGAGAAGACGATGGCCTTAAATAAGGATGAGAGAGCTTGAACTCAACGGAGTCCGTCAACGAGTTCGGTTTATCGAGAGATAAAGCTTCGGCAAGGGCTTGTTTAGCCGTCTTGATATCTGTTTGAAGCCTTCTCTCCCACTGACCTTTAGACACTGATTGTGGAGAGGAAAACCCATCTCGATTTTCACCATCACCGTCCGTTTGAAGCTTTTTCAGCTTCTTTTTCAAGTGAGTGTTCCAATAGTTCTTGATATCATTATCGGTTCTCTGGGGAAGATAAGAAGCTATAGCAGCCCATCTGCACCAAAAAGAAAACACATAAACTTTTCATTAGTAACCTAATAAAAAATTATCGCGGTTATGAAAATAATAGATATTATCGGATTTAGACCATTGTCTTCACCTATTCCCCAGAAGAGCTTGAAGATGGATGATCATCTTCTCTTCCTGCTCAGTGAAGTTACCACGTTTGATACCGGGACGAAGATAATTAGTCCATCTCAGCCTGCAACTCTTGCTGCATCTAAGCAAACCTGAAAAAGAAAATCAAAACTTAAAAACTCACAAATCTGAAAGGAAATAACCAAGATGAAATTTAATGCTATTTTTTTTTTTTGCTCAAAGATGCCTGTATATTTATTGCACCTATTTAATGAAACCAACTAACCAAAAAGAAAGAGAAATATGGAGATACCAGTATTAGTAGGAACTGATCTCCAGTTTCCAGGGCCATGTTCTTGAATATAAGAGACCAATATGATGTCTTCTTCAGGTGTCCATGGTCCCTTCTTCACACCGATTTTGTCACAGCAAGGAGGTCTACCCATATCTTTTCTTCACTCAAAGTTCAAGACAACTTGAAGAAGAAGGGTTTAATTTGTCTATATAAAGCTACAGAGCATGCGATTTTTAGCTAGCTAGAGCTTGAAAACTGTTTTTTTCTTCTTCTTCTTTTGTTCTAGTAGCCTAAGGGAAATGGTGTGACAGACAAGGGAGTTTGGATTGATTATAAATAGAGGGAAATGGGAGATGAGCTGACCTGAGTGATGAGGTAAAAATGAGGGATTTGCTTAAAAAGAGTCAAAACGGACAGCAAGCAGCATTTACTCGTTGCTTGCCGAAAGTCAGCCTATGCTTTTGGACTCTTTGCCTCTCAAAAACAGTGTGGCATTCATTGTGGGATATCCGTAGACATGGAGGTGGCAGTGGCGCCGATAAAAAAATCAATTTTTTTTTATGATATGTGTATGTTTTACTATGTAACGTTAGGGGTTTATAATTGTGATTTTCTAATAATATTGTGTTTTAGTTTGTTGATGGAAATAAATGACTTTTATTGGTTATATATAGTTTAATTTTTTAGTTTGAGTGAAGAGTTATAGTTAGTGATAAATCGAGCGATGTGATTAGTGTCAAAATATTCTCTATAAGGAGATATAAAAGAGATGAATATGGTGTGGCGATTTTATATGAGTTTCATTCTTCCTCTAATTATTGGTAGAGAGATTTTATAGTGATTCTTAGACAGTGGTATAGACATCCGTTTTTGTCCGGATCTATAAAAATATTTTATTATATTATATTTATTTATTTATTTATTATTATTATTAATATTTTTTTATTTTATTATTTTTGTAGGCCCCACACATAACAACCCTGATTTAGTGAGATTCAGAAAATAAATCAACGTATTTGAGTCTTATTGAAACACTAAAACCAACGTATTTAAGTCCTATTAAAACACTAAAACCCACGTATTTGAGTCTTATTAAAACACTAAAACCGAAGCATTTTGAGTCCAAGTATGACTTTAAATCTGAGCTAAAAATAGGTTTCTTTAGACTATAAATAGACTCAAGCATCAAGAGGAAAGGACACAGAGAAAAACGTGGAACCAAAATCAGAGGAATGGGCAACGATTTGGAAAAATCGAGGGAAGAAAAGGACAAAATATAAGCGTGGAGGATCCAAAACCAGTATCTAAAAACACGAGGAGTGACAAAGTATTTTTATTGCAAATTCAGTTTCTCTACACGCAAAACATGAGAGATGTAACAACTTTTGACTTATTCTTTTTATTTCTTTTTTTTATTTATTTATTTTATATATATTTTTCATTTTCTCCTAATTTTAATATTTTTTATTTCTTTTTACATTATTATATATATTTATTTATTTATTTATTAATATTATTATATTAATATTTTTTATTATTCTTTTCTCATGTTTATTTTCATTTTTACAATCCATCACTTTTGACTTTTTAGGGATATTTTCAATCGATCAAAGGTAATTAATTCGAATTGAATTTTTAAATTTCAATTTAAATTTTTATTTTCGCGATTAAGACAACCGACGAATTAATTGGTACCGGAAGGGCGGTTCAAGGGTGCTAATCCTTCCTTGACCGTAACCGACTCCCGAGCCTGACACATTTTTGGTAAACGCAGATTATGTAAGATGGTGTTCGGTTCGCCTAAATATTTTTAAAAAATGATCGGTGGTGACTCTAACCCAATTATTCAAGTCGAAACTCAATTCCGGGCCCAACCGAAAGACGACAGCGACAGCTTGGCGACTCCACTGGGACAGGCAAGTGAGTCAGGCCAGAATTAATTTTCGGTTGTATTTTTATGCGAAAATGGAAAATGGAAAATTTAAATTTATTTATTTATTCGATTCCAATTATTTACCTTTGATTATTTTTCAAATAAATAGTTGTACTTACCTTTTTTTCAATGATTTCAAATTTCTTTTAAAGAAAAAGTTTCATCTCAGGCTCTATACCTGAGCTCTAAACCCTATTTAAGTGGGGGTGAAAGCGACGCCTTCGTGTGAATTTATTCACCGCACATGCCTAGCAAGTAGCCTTCGGGATTCATATACTTTATGTCTTCGTGTGAATTTATTCACCGCATAGACATAAGGGAATGTGTCATCTCGAGTTTAACTTAGTCCACACAAGCTTGTCATAGGCTTAGGACTAAGGGTTTGGCAAGATCAAGGGAGCACCAGCAAGGAGAACTCGGGTACCTTTTTAGAACCTAAACCGGGTGAGTACAGGGAATTAGAGCCCACCCCAAAATCTCATTCCAAACCCTAGGTTACTTTGTTTCCTGTTTTACTTTCTGTTCAAAGCATGCGAACTAGACAAATATGCGGTTAGGATTTGTTTGAAATTAGCATGCGGGATAGAGATCATGTCCGAGCAAGAATAATAAGCATGTGAGGTAGATATCATGTGGGGTAGGACTTTTTCATAACTGTTTTCATTATTATCACCTCACTAACTCCTTTCATTTTTGTTTCCTTTTATTTTATTTTCATCACTTGCATCATTTAAAAGAGGTGTTGATCCACCAAAAACGTGTTTGTTAAACATGAATAATTTGCATTAATGGACAAAGGGGTTGTAATACAAGAGATGAAAATGCAGAGGACAGTCTACAAGGCGACTATATGTCACATTTAATCCAGAAGATGTCATGTCCACAATTGAATAGTATATCACTCTGTTGCATTATAAAGGACTCAAAATGAACCGGGTCTACATCAAGCACAATGAAAGTCTATCTTTGAAGAACTGATTGACAGAGGTTACAGGGGCAAGATGAAGGTTACTGATCTTGGGAGTCCCTTCAAAGACAACGATGGCTGAAATAGGACACCATTGCTGACGAATTCAAGAAACAGACAAATAAACTTCACATAGTTCCTATCAAATGAGGGCTCCAAGGACGTATTCATTGGGAACAGGTTCAACAAAAGATAAATGACAGAGATGCAGTCATTCGAGACTTCTTGGGCCAGTACAAAAAGCAACTCAACATTTGCACAATTCATCCAGAGAAGCCAAAGCGGTTCAACAAGTTATTCAACCGGTGACAGACGAAGGCAGAAGACTAGTCAACATGTCAGAAACTGTCAGGATATTTTTGTCTCTTAAAAGATAAAACACTTTTGTCCCCAATAAGGATTATTTCTAATAACAGACACATTTTTGGATAAATGCCTCGAACATTGCATGCATCATGCATTCCTGTATATTTCGTATTACTTTTCCCTTTTTTTACATTAACATGTCTCATAAAAAATGAGAACATTTCGATCCTATGACATATAAGGAGCTTTACCAACGGTTATTTGACGCGCATGTGGTGTCACCATATCCAGAGAAATCCATGAAGCCCCCATACCCCAAGTGGTATAACGAGAATGCTCATTGTGAATATCACGGCGATGTCCCAGGGCACAAAATTGAGAATTGTTACGCATTCAAGAAAGTCGTGCAGAATATGTGTAACCAGAACTGGATCGACTTCAACAACTTGGGGGCATCCAAGTGAGGGAGATCATTTCATCATTTGAGGCATTCTGTTTGAATTTATTTTTTCATTTTTTCTCAAATTTTTGTAAGGACTTTTAAATAAATTTATGTTACTTTAATGATGACGAGCAATGAATCACATTTGTAAACTTGCAATTCTTTGAATATCAACTTAATTAAAAAGCTCTGTAAATGGTTCAAAGTTACGAATCCCTGACAAAGTAACATGATTTAAAACAAGGACTTTGACATTACACAGAATATACACTCAAACACCGTACCCTGCTCTTGCAATTAACCAATGTAACATTTTCCTTTCATAAGGTACGGATAACATGGGGCATCCTTTCGCATATGACATTACTATACTTTTTATATAAGACGTTCAGTGATGATAATAATCTTCACAGATGGAATAGTCGAGTAAGAAAATCTAGTTTAGGTCAGTTGCTTGAAAATTGAACTCTAAAGATGAAATTTTTTACTTTCAACAACACATATACTATAACAGGTTCTTCTTGACTATCTTAAGAAATTAAATCCGTAAAAACTGAGCTATTCCGCTAAGGCAATTGGTTATAGAGGAAACTCGAAAGCACTGGCTTTATGAATAGATTGCGTTCAAACCATGACATTGCTCGGACACTTGGCAACTCGGTGTTTGCTCCACTACTATTGGCAGGCTGAAGACTTTGTGATGAGATTAACCCTTCAGTTAACTTGATAAAAGTGATTATAATATTAAGCTTTCCCTCTAAAGAAATTGGTTAAACGCCATGGCTTTATGGATTTGGCTAGCCAGAAAATGGCAAATTAAATCAAATTTATCTAAACAAGAAATTTTCGGTAATGATGGACTAAGGGAGTTAAGGAACACCTGTTATAGTCAAATACACACGATCACTCAAGAATTTCATTTTTAGACCGATATTTCTGCAATACCTTTGTTAGAGAAGCTTACAAAACTTGAACAAATGGAAGATTTCGGAGGACTGAAATAAAAGGTCTAGTAATTGATCATTTTAGTTGCGTCATTTTGTCTGCACCCAATTAAAATGCCAAACCAAAGAAAAAACATATTGCGATATTTCAAAAAATGACATTTTGGGTTACCGAAACCTTAGAAATGAAGTCAACCTGAAGTCAACTCATCCATTTGAACATTTGTCAAAGAGCTATAACTCTGAAAGCATTAAAAAGAGCTATTGATTCCTTTGATATACTTTGAACTCATGTTTACAATTTGATTCAATTGCGAACAATTTTTTACATAATTTTTATCATTTTCCCTCCTAAAACAAGAAAAAGGAGAAAAACATTTTCAAACAGGACAATCTCAAATATGAAAGGTCGGTAAAGCCAAAGCTCGAGAAGCAAATGGGGCACGATCGATTCCATGGATCAGATTGGTAGACAAAACACGGGAATCCAATCCAAGAGATAAAATATAACTCATTCATGTTACATGCATCTTAGACATATTTAAGAGCATCACATTTATCATTTTTAGCACACGTAATTTTTTACAGCTTTTAGAGTCAATTTCAACTTC